AGTTCTGCCTGCCCTTCACTAACCCAGCCTTGCAGCCCCTGGGCTGCCCTTAGCCTAATGACAGCAGGTGGCAGGGAGGCCTCCACCTTGAGGCTATTAAACTGCCAACCCCAGCTGCCTGCCCCACCCCTGCCACCAGAGGGACAACAACTGCCCTGCCCAAGGAGGGGGGAGAGTTTGGAGACCCAGGTGAGCTGGAAGAGGGAAGCCACCCTTTAAGGGCCAGGCCCCAGATCAGTTCCAACGTGCAGGAAAGCCCCCTCTCCACCAAAGAGCCAAACCTCAGAATGCATCCCCTCCCCCACCCCAGGCATGTGCATGGGCCTCCCTGTGTCTCAGTTTCCCCCTCTCTAAAATGGGCCAATTTAAATTTATTCCTCCTACCGTGGTTTTGAGGATGACATTCCCCTCTGGCCAAAGGGAAGGGGGCAGGGAGGGGTCTCCTGAAGGGCAGGAAGTGTGCCACTCTGTCCCCCATTTCCCAGAGGGAAGTGGCTGTCTCTAAGTAGCTGGGTGCAACTTCCCAGAGGTGCCTGGCCCGGAAGAGTGAGGAGCTGCAGGATTCCCAGCTGCCTCTAGTGAAGGGGGTCCTATTTTTAGCCCAGCAGGGAGCTGGGAATTGATACCAGATTTGCTGGCTCTACAAGGGATGGGCAGAAGGCCTGGGCTGCACCTGGGTCCTGGCTGTGTGATTTTATGTTAGTACAAACCCTGCTCTGGTCTCTGTTTCTCAAGCTGGGAAATGGGAATGCTGCGACCCCCAGCCCTCTAAGGTTTCCTGGCCACACCAGCTTGTGGGGGTCGTGTGAAAACCAGCCTGATTCTCACTTAGCCCCTCAGACAGTCACTCCTCCTGCCCTCCATTCAGGCTGGGGGGTGCAGCATCTTTTTAAAAGTTCTGGGACTTCCCTGGTGGCGCGATGGTTAAGAATCCGACTGCCAATGCAGGGGACAGGGGTTCTATCCCTGGTCCGGGAAGATCCCACATGCCGCGGAGCAACTAAGCCCATGCGCCACAACTACTGAGCCTGTGCTCTAGAGCCTGCGAGCCACAGCTACTGAAGCCCCCACACCTAGAACCCGTGTGCTCCACAACAAGAGAAGCTACCGCAACGAGAAGCCTGCACACGGCAATGAAGAGTAGCCCCCGCTCGCCCCCGCCCACCGCAACTAGAGGAAAAATGCCTGCTCGCAGCAACGAAGACCCAATGCAGCCATAAATAAATAAATAAAATAAAATAAAATAAAATAAAATAAAATAAAAATTCGCCCAGATCACAAACTGCCCTCCTTCCCACATATATTCCCCCTGAAACATATTTCTGCCTCAGGGCCTTTGCCCTGGCCATTCCCCTGCCTGGACCACCCTTCCCCAGCTGTGCCTTTTCATTCAAACTGGAACCTCACATCACCCTGTTTTATCTTCACCCAGGCTCTTCTGTTCAAAACAGCTGCAGTTGTTTAACCTCCTTAGCCTTGATCACGGCTGGTTGCATCTCCAATCCTGAGGTTGGGCCTGACACATAAATGTTGGTTGAATGAATGAATTCATGGGTCCCCTTCTGTCCTCCCTCACCCCATGGTATTTTTGGAGTCTGTCTACACAGAGGTGGAGGGCAAGTTAACTATTCACCATCTCAATCTCAAAAAAAAAAGGAAAGAAAAAGAAAGACCTGAAGGGGATGCTGGGCCCAGCCCCAAATCCCAGAACCCCGACTGGCCTCCAGGTTGCCTTGTCCCTGTGAACCGGGGTCTATGAAAATGTAATTATAATTTCTTTTAAAGTAAGAAGAGAAAAGCGAGTATAATTATAAGGAATAGATAGTCACGAATCCAGCCTGAAGTAATTCGTCATTATACCAACGCAGCTGCAAAATAGAATTTTTAATATTTTTTCATAGAAGGGGCCCAGGAGACCCAGAACATTCATAGTGCGGCTCTGCTTGACCCATTTTGCAGCAGGGACACTTCGAACCGCTGGTCCAGGTTGCGATACGCATGAGCGACTCCCCCTAGGCCCTGGGGTCCCTCTGTGGGGTGGACCCAGGGAAGCCAGGACCATCCGCGGGGTGCGCGCGCCCCCTGCCGGGCACCTGTGGACGGCAGCCGGGGGCGGGGCTTCCGCCGGAGGCCGCCAGGAGGAGCCGTCTCACCTGTAAACGAACTTCCCGGGTCGGACGGGGAAACGGAGGCCCGCCGAGCCCTTCCTGTGGCTCCTTAGAAATGTTCCGGGGTAGAGTTGCCGGACAAAATACAGGACTTATAGTTACATTTGGATTTCCAATAAACAACGAATAACTTTAAATGTATCCCAAATAAATATTGCACAGGACCTAATGATACTAAAATTGTTTTCACTGTTTATCTGAAATTGGAATCAACACCTCTCCCGACCCGCCCGGACCCCCGGGGCTTATCCCCATGCTGTGGCTTCGGGTCCCACCCCCACCTCACCCCCTCCCAGTTCAGCTGCACCAGCTGAGCTCAGGTCACATTTCCTGGTCTCACCTCCTCCAGGAAGCCTTGCTGGAATCACTGCCACCAAGGTCAGGCTCACAGTTACTCACAAAGGGCACACATATCTCCTTTGTAACAGTTTTCACTGCTGTTATTTGCATCTCTCTAGGTAGTTCGTCACTCACTGGCCTCTTTGCTAGACAGGGGCTCTGTGTGGGCAGGGGTCAGAGGGTGCCTCGTACGTAGAGCCTGCTGGCATGCAGAAGGGGCTCTGAAAACTGCCCAGCTGAACAGACTTGAGGATAAACCAAGGGTCTGCAGTTTTGGAACGATGCCTCTTCCTGGATGTCCCTTTAAACCCTTTAACTTCATTTTTAAAAAACTTTTTCGAGATCATTGTACATTTTAAAAAATATTTATTTATTTATTTGGCTGAGCCGGGTCTTAATTGCGGCACGCAGGATCTTTAGCTGCGGCATGCAAACTCTGAGCTGCAGCATGCATGCAGGATCTAGTTCCCTGGCCAGGGATGGAACCCAGACCCCCTGCATTGTGAGCGCAGAGTGTTAGCCACTGGACCACCAGGGAAATCCCAAGATCATTGTAGATTCTAATGCAGAGATATCTCTCTCATACCCTTCACCAGGCTTCTCCCAACAGTGACATTTTATAAAAGTATAGTACCACATCGAGATCAGGATATTGGAATTGCTACATCCCACCCATGGATTCGTATTTCCCATTTTACTTGTACTCGTGTGAGTTTTCTCTGCAATTCTATCAGCTGCGTAGGTTTGTGTCTCCACCACAGTGCAGGGGCAGAGTGTCTCTGTCATAAGGGTCCCTCATGTTGCCCCTTTCCTGTCATCTCCTACACTGGCCACCACTCATCTGCTCTCCGTTCCCATATTTTTGTCACCTCAAGGACGTTACATAGATGGAATGGTACATCATGTTACCTTCGGGGACTTCCTTCCTACACTCAGCGTCATTCCCAGAGATCCACCCCGGGTGTGTGTGTATCAACAGTGTGTTCACAACACAGACCTGCTGAGTGGGCGTGGACGGACCACGGGTGCACCTGTCGAAGGATGTCTGGGTCATTTCCAGTTTGGGGCTATCACAAATAAAGCTGCTATGATCACATGAGTACACATTTTTGTGTGAACAGAAGTTTTAATTTCTCTGAGATAGGTGCCCAAGAGTCCCTCTGGAACTGTGTTCGGTTGTTTTTGTTTTGTTTTGTTTTTTCGGCCGCACAGCTTGTGGGATCTTAGTTCCCCAACCAGGGATCAAACATGGGCCCTCAGCAGTGAAATCATGGAGTCCTAACCACTGGACCACCAGGAAATTCCCTGTTTTTTTGTTTGTTTGTTTCAAATTCCTTTTCCACAGGAAATCCTGCCACTCATTCCCTGAGTTGAGTTTTGGGGGATGGGGCGAGGAGAGGGAGGGAGGTGGGCAGGGCCTGCGGGTAAAGGGGAGATTTCACCCTCATGCCCGGCCTGGTACAGAGACCAGGACTTGAAGACCAGAACAAGCGAGCTTCAGGCCAATGTCTATGTATGTCAGAATGGAATGGCCTCCCCTTCTCACATAACATCTTTGTGAATTTGGGCTCTTTGGAGACCTAGGATGTCCCCAAATAATTTGGAAGGACGGGGGCCCTCCAAGAGATGGGCAGTTGTCCTTCAGGGTGACTAAGCCTGAGGCCTGCAGGGCCTCACCCTAACCCTCCCCCTGCCCAGCAGGCACACGCAGCTCAACCCACCAAGAGGTGGGTGTGTTCCCCCCACCTTGAATCTGGGTGTGACTCTGACAGCACCCAACAATTCAACGTGGAAGGAGTGAGGCTCTGCGGCTCCCACCTCTACTTGGAAGTTTACGCCAAGGCATAAGCCTGACTTTCCCCAGACTGCTATGTTGGGAGGAAGCCCAGGCAGCTTGTGGAGGAGTGCTTGGCTGCCAGCGTGAGACCAAAGCCTTCTCCGGCCTTCCTGGTCCAGCCGCTAGGTCAGCTACTCACTCAACACCACGTGGGTCACAAGAACCGCCCAGCTGAGCCCACTCACTCACCGATTCGTGAGTGGTAATACAATGATGCTGTTCTATGCCTCTCTGTTTTGGGGTGGTCTGTTACGTACTGCTAATCCTGTGTCTCCCAGGGACAGCTCTGTGCACTGTGCTCCAGGGAGGCCTTATTTATTCAGTGACACCCATTATTTTCCAGCCAGGATTCTGGACGCTCACCTGGTAGCAAGAAGAGCACCTTTTTATCAATTTTAAGATGCACATCGTGTTCACTTTTTAACATCTCTGAAAATGGCATGAACCTTACAATTTTACAGTCAACTGCAAGGCAGTTGCAAGTTGATGCTTCCTTGAAAGTTCCAGAAAGTGCCACCAGCAAACCATCTTCAACTTCAGGAAACACAGAAATAATAATTACAATATCAATAGTGGCAAAGTTGTACAAGAGCGCAAAACATTTTCACTATGATGAACATGGACAAAAATAAAGACATTAATAGCAGAATTACAGCAGCTGCTGTTTAAGCAGCTCCTGTTCCAGAGGGGCTCATCTTGATTCCCCCGGAGAGGGCTCAGAGAGGGGCAGCGCGCTCCGTCAGGACACACAACCTGAGCGGCCCCAGCCCACCGCTGCCTGGCTTCGGGGGCCTGGCGGGGGCCTGGTGGGCGGTCAGGCGGTGCAGCTCGGTTTGGGGGGCGGCCGGGTCCGAGGGTCCCGAGCGGCGGGGCCGCCGGGGAGCGCAGGGGCAGATGCGGCGGAAGGCCTGACGGAAGTGGGAGCCCAGGAAGGCGTAGAGCAGGGGGTTCAGCGCCGAGTTGCTGTAGGACATGCAGTGCGCCCAGATCTTGAGCGCGTAAGCTGCGTAGCTGCGCGGATGCCAGGCGCCCGCCGGGCCCAGCGCCTGCAGCACCAGGAACAGCTGGATGGGGCCCCAGCAGGCGGCGAAGAGCAAGACCACGGCCGCCACCAGCCGCGAGACCTTGGCCCGCACAGCGCCCGCTCGCTCCGCCAGCAGCTGCCCCTGGGGAGGGGGGGAGGGGGTATGAGGGAAGGCGAAGGACCGGCAGGGGCGACTTCCAGGGCTCTCCGCTACTTCACCCTCTTAAATTCCCCCCCCCCCCCCCCCCCCCCCCCCACCCACCCCCCCCCCCCCCCCCCTCCCCCCCCCCCCCCCCCCCCCCCCCCCCCCCCCCCCCC